ACAGGGTCACTCTCTTCTCGCCCAGGGGCCCATCAAGGCTTTTTTTTAAGACATACAACACTAGGCCACGGTAAGAGGGGAATTTGACAATTGGGTAAGAAACAAAGGGTACTTTATTAACTAATGCATAATTATTTACATGGTTATTTTACTATCCTTTAAAAACATAACTAAGGAATCATACACTGGTCTCGAGTCTAGTGATAATAAGTACTGAAGGTTCCAAAGGGCTAATATATTGTATTTATGTAAGTTATTGAATAATCTTGCTGAAATTATAGTATTTCTGGGGCAACTGAAAAATATATGATCTAGGTTTCCTTCTTCTGTACAAAATTCACATCGATCATTATCTAAAACCTTGAGTTTAAATAAATGTTTGGGGTAACAAGCATGTCCAAATCTCAGTCTAATGATCGTGGTAACATATTTTCTAGGTACATTAAAAGACTTATACCAAGGTGTTTTAGGAATATCTGTTTGAAGAGAAGTGTATCTATTTGGGCTAACAATGGAATATTCCTTCCATATATTATCCCACCTTTGATATAATCTTATTTTTAAGAAAGCCAGAAAGTCGCAAGCCGTGATTTTATACGAAGTTTCTCTACCAAAAAAAATACTTTTTTTTGCTAATTGGTCTACATGTTCATTATTTTCCAAACCTATATGTGCTTTAATCCAAACAAAGACCACATTTTTGCCCCTTGTTACTAACTTTTGTTTGATGTCCTTAATTTTGAAAATATAAGGGCAACTGTATGTATTTGGCACTCCCGGTTTCCCAATAGAGGTCAAAACTGATAAAGAATCTGATAATATCACTATATGATCCGAGCTACTTTCTGTTGCATAAAGTAAGGCCTCATATATTGCAAGAGCTTCCGCTGTAAAAATAGAGGTCTGGGAGTTTAACTTAAATGTGTGTTCTATTCGTTCCAACGGGACAAAAAAAGCACATCCAGTGCCGTTTGATGATTTGGAAGCATCAGTATATATAACGACGGAGTTTTTGAATTCTGATAATATTGAGTGAATAATCAGTCACTATCAGTCACAATCATATAGTCACTATATTTTGGTACCATCATATCTGTATTTTCACAATATGTTGCATATGAAATGTTTTGAAGTGTATGCGTAGCTTTATCTATCTCTTTTATTGCTTCCATATTATGTTGCAGAGCTTCGCAGACTAAAGGCGATTTCTTTTTTCCCCAGTATTTAGTACACAAATCATAGCAATTCAAAGTCAAGATCTTTGTGTATAAGGATTGATTTTTTATATATGTCTTTACCAGAAATTTTTCGGACAGGAAGTTTCGTCTGATATTTAAAGGTGGTTCCAAGGCTTCCAAATACAAGGGTTGAATTGGTGGACTTCATAGCACCTAAACATATACGTAAAGCTGAATTGTGTATTACTTTAATTTTATTTAGCAATACATTACTGGCTGATCCATAAAATATGCTTCCGTAATCAAAAATGGAGCGGATATACCCTCTGTAGAATAATAAATTTACATCTACATCAGCACCCCACCACGTTTTATTAATCGATTTAAGGAAATTTATTCCCTTGTTGCATTTGTTTAACATATCCTCAATATGATCCTTCCAAGTCAAATGTTTGTCAAGTGTCATCCCTAAATATTTGACCTTACTTTTTAGTGGATATTGATGCTCTCCTAATTTAATTATTTGATCGTTAGGTTTATAATGTCTAGTAAAAATGCAAACCTGAGATTTGTTGCAAGATAATTCAAAATTGTTTTTATTGAGCCATTTTTGAAGTAGCTGATAGATACTATCCAAGTTTTTAATTGCTGTTTGATATTCTTTGTGTTCTGTGTAAATGCAGAAATCATCTGCATATTGTATGAGGTTGAAGGGTATGTTATTTATTTTAATATTGTACAAGTCCGCTACGTACATATTAAACAGGATAGGGCTCAATACAGAACCCTGAGGTAATCCTTTGTTTACGATTCTGGGACCTATGAGCATTTGTTCTTTTCTTAAATAAACTAATCTGTTTGAGTATAGATTAACAATACTAGCGGCAAATTGGGCTGGAATTTGAAATATTCTTGTCATTTTTTCTTTAAGTGCTATTAAACACACAGAGTCATAAGCACCTTCTATATCAAGAAATAATGCTGGTTAGTAATTGTTTCCGGAATAATTGTTTTGAATGTCTACAACTAGGGTAGCCAATGCATCCAAAGTACCAAAACCTTTCCTAAATCCGTATTGTTCTTTGGGTAGAAGGTTCTGCTCTAGTAACCACCATTCTAACCTAGCCTTAATTATCCTCTCTAGAGTTTTTTGTACACAAGATAATAAAGATATGGGTCTGTAAGCTTCAACTAATTTTAGATTTTTCCCAGGTTTGGGTATAGGAATGACAATAATATGTTTGAAGGCTGAAATGTTAGAACCTTCTCTAATTATCTGATTAAAAATATTTAGAAGTAACTCTTTTGCATTATTTGGTAAATTAAGTAGCATAACATATTTGATTTCATCATAACCAGGAGAAGTGTTAGGACGATCACTAAGGGCACAGTCCAATTCTAGCATTGTAAATGGTTTTAAGCGAAAATGACTATGATTCGGATTGAATAACATCAAATATTCGTGATTGTTCACATATGGTGGTGCAATTTTGTCCAAAAACTCTTCTGTCCACGAATCTTCCAGTTGTAATGGAGCATTGACCATTTTCCTGTTCATTTTCCTGACCATTTTCCGATAAAAACTCAAATTGTTTCTCATCTACTATATTTTTTCCAAATTTACTATAATTTTACGGCTCTGGTACAATAATCCAATTTTGCAGGGTTGCTAACACTGCGTAAAATATGTGATAATTGAGATCCTCATAAAATAGAATTATGTTTGCGACAAAAAAAATAGTTACCTATTAATTTTAATTAATATTAAATTAAATTATACTTAATATATTAAAAATCATATTAGATTTAATTTGATTTATACAAATAATAAAGCAATTTTCAAATCATCAAACTTTAATAAATTTATCCTGTAATGGAATTACAGTTAATTAGAAACAATAAAATTACGTAATAGTTAAAAATATCATTTTTTAAGGAAATAATTAAATTTATGGCAACTAATTTGTTGCGCCAACAACTGTGAGAATCTGCTAATGCAGGAAATTCATAAAAAATCATTTTCGTGGAGATCATTACAACTATTCATTGTGTAGAGTTCTCCTTAAACTAAAACCGCTTGTAGCGATTATAAATTTAGCGCCTTGTTCGTGAAAATATCGTTTTTTGCCGGTTAAGGTACTTTATTAGGATATGTCCTTATACAATGCTAATTTTGTATCTGTTTATAACCTGGTTATCATTTCTTTCACTTTTGGAATCTACATTAATTCAACATATTGGATTTTATCAAACGTTTTTGCATCAAAGTTTCTATAAACATGTTTTTTCTGACTTATTCAGTGCTAACTGTACCCTTTTAGTAACGAGTGTGTTTTAACCGGCAAGCTTGCGTGAGATATTGAAAAACGGGATACGGGATATGAATACTTCGATACAGCCACATCTCAAACGCTTCCAATATCTTGCACATATCTTTGAAGTCCACGAGTCATCAAAAAACAAAACAGAAAAGACGTATTCTAACGCATTCTAACTTTTATAACAAGAGAGAGAGAGAGAGAGAGAGAGAGAGAGAGAGATTGTGACTTTTAAAGAAGACATTCATCCGGTTGTTGTAGTTGGAGTAAATCTAGTTGTTGGTCCATTCTTCATCTTCGTTACCGAAGTAACTTACGAAACAAATTACAATATTGAAGACATTTTAATGGCATCCCGGGACTGCTGATTTAATTTAATAAATAACAATTTTGCTACAAAATAACCTTCACCGACATAATAAATTAATTATGATAACGAAGCTGTTCTATATTAAAATTCATAAGTAGAAATTCACCTCCAATTGACATTTATTTAATTATCAGAAAATTTGCTTAATCCGTCCAGAGAGTAGTCAGATACATGACCTTGTAATCAATAATAAAAATCGAACATGCAACAAACCGGCCAGTATAAGAATTAACCTTACCTTGCCCATGGTATATTGTGCTGTGTATCTGTCACATAAGGATTTCCTTGCATTCATAAAAAACACAATGTGTGTAATTTGCTTTGTGGTACCAAAGCTGAATGAGAATGGCCATGACTGAATTTTAAATGTTATTAGATAATTAGTATATTTATTATATAATGATTAGATTAATTAAGTAGTTACCGTTTGTTAAGTTGCATTTATTTATTTAAAAGGAGCGGAAATCTAGTCACAAATTAAAAATACACACATACACCTAGATGAAGAGTGTCTAATCCAGTGTTCTCAAACGTGGAGAGTGAGACTATGTGTCAGGGCGATAAAATTATAGTAAATTTAAAAAAAATATAGTAGATAAGAAAAAATAAATCGCTAAATTCAATTCAATCGCATTAAATAATGGATAATGGTCATTTATTGTGTTTATGAAACATCATGATCAAATCAATAGATTATTTTTAAGAAAATTCGCATTTTAAATATGTATAGTATAAAAACTGAAGAGTTTAGAGATTAAAGTTTATGCCTATTTTCTAATCATACCTATTTGAGGCATGATTTGTATATTATAAATATATGCCCCACGTTAGGCGCCAGTTGTAACAATTTATAATTTACTTATATGTGGCTGGGAAGTTATTATTTTCTTTAATTATTTTCTTTCTCTCTTGCTTAATAGAGTACTAGGATTTTCTGTCGAGGTTTATTTCTTTAATCAGAATATCCAGTTTTAATCTACCATAAACTCCATATAAATGCCATACTTTTTCGCAGCATTTTATTAAGGATTTAGACTTAAAATTTGACGTACAATTAAGCAAATAAGCCATACAACAATATTTATTTTATGTTTTCTGTAGATAAACCTTAATTTCTGTTTGTTTTTGTTTCAGGTGTTGACTCGCAAAAGTTCTACACCTTGCAGAACAGAAAAAAGAAGAAAGAATATTTCTCAGGCTCCCTCGACCGCCGCACTAAACGAAAAAACTCGTTAGAACTTATACCACCGAAGAAACCACCACGAACCTTTACCTCGAAATACTCTCAAAAATCGTCCATATTCGACATATTCAAAAGAGAAAAACCACCAGCTCCAAAAAAATCTAACTTACGTCGAAGTACCAGTGATGTCTCTAACAAAAGTACAAACATTAACATACAGAGCGATAGTAAGTTTAGAAAACGTTCTGGCAGTGATAGCGAGGAATTTCTAAAACGGAGAAAAGAGAAGAAGCAACTTTCTCCTATAATAGAAGTAACGCAACGGGAGGACTATTTTTCAGCCCCAGAGCTAGATTATTCCGAGAAAGAAAGTATACAAAACAAGGAAAACTTAGAACCCAAAAGTTTTGTTAGAAAGAAGAAAAAAGAAAGTATTACAGAACAATTAAAACAGTTTATAGATGAAGTAGATGAAGAATTATACAAAGAAACTGGTATACGTGTTCCTCCGCCAGAAGAACAGAAACCACCTCAGCCCATAATAATTGATGTAGAAAAAGCCCAGCAAATTTCTAATAAAGAAAAGAAATTTAAACACTCACTTCTTGCCAGAAAGATAAAATCAATCACTAATAAAAAGAAACAAACAAATGATAAGAAAACAACTAAAAAGCAAGTTAATGAAAAAAATAAACAATCAAAATTATCCGAGAAAAAGGATTATGTAAAGCAAGCAGAACCTTCCGTTCAATTTGAAACTAGTCAAGGAACAAGAATAAAAGAAACAATCGAACACTTAGGGAATCCCAAAGATTCTCCCAAGATGATTCACAGCAGCCAAATGCCAGCTGAGAAGCTGCCTTTGACAAAAGGACGAACAGTAAATTCATTAATAAAAAGGTTAAGTACTGAATCCACCTCACCCCCTCCCTTAAAAACCAATATTCTCATTACACCTCACGCTTCAGTACAGCACAATAATAATCAACCTTTTTCGTATACAGGGGGCTTAAGTCCTGACAAGTTTAATGAAACATCGCCTACACCTGGAAGCCCCATAATATATGCACAAGTGGTATGTGGTAACAACGGCAACGGTACTTCAAAGCAAACCGTACACACCAGCTATAGTAACGGTAGGAAACATACACATTCAGACTCAGATGAGGGTTTAGGAGGTGAGGAACATTTGGCCTTCAAAACAATAACACGTTTTGGAGATGACTATGATGAAGTCGACAAAATTGACGAAGAAAGTCCAATCAAGCCCAAATTTAGGAACCCAGCCTACCTCAATGGATATTCAAGCTACGAACGTAAAGAAGTGTCTAACGTTAAATACATAGACTCTTCAGCTAGAGGCCGTGGGGACGGAATGGACTCTAAAAGAAGGGAAAGCCTCACAGAACCACATGAAACTACTTTTACCTCCACTACCATGTTAAATAGTCGTAGTGATTTATCTGCTAGAAGAGACCAGTTAGAATCTAGAATAAATCGTAGAGTTAATGACAATTCCATCCGTACCTCTCCTGAATACCTAAAGAATCCTTATCCGACAAACGTCTATGTAACCGAAACTACTTCTAAGCACTATAAAAGTGGATCTTCTAGTCCAGTAGGCTACACGGAAAAGTATTCGTCTGAAACGATGACAGACAAGCATGGAAAACCTCACACAAAAGAATCAAGGACTGTACAGTACTTCGGAAATGAACACAAAGAGCGACTGGAATATGAAAATAGGGCAAGACCAAATGGATACCAATATAACGGTTTTGATAATGAGCCCAAAAGCTTTGACTCGCAAATAAGTTCCTCGCCCGAAAATAGACGATATGAAACTAGTCACAGTTACAAAAAAGATGAATATAGAACATTCCACAAATCAACTCCAGACATTTACAGATCTCATCAAGATTCCTTACAAAGAGAAAATGTAGAAAGAAGAACAGGTTCTTCTAATTACAGATCTGAGTATTTTGAAGATAGTGACAGAAGGGAAAGATTCGCAGATTCTGGTATCGAAAATGATTTCAGAAGAGATTCGAGAGATAACTTTAGATCAAGACCCCGACATAGAAGAGACTACTGTAACGAAAGTGAAGATGAGGGTTTTGCCAGTTCGCTACTCATTGCCAGTGAAAGGCAGCACACAGAAGATAATATTAACAATAGAAAGAGACGCGATTATGACTCTGATCGGGCAGTCTCAAGAGAAGACGATCCGTATAGACACATAGAAACTATGGACTATAAGAGTAAGGTTAGATCTAACGATTACGTACCCAGAGAGAGGAGTATCGACGATGGTTCGCATTATGATCCTAGAATTGATAAAGATGTTGAAATATATACAGTGAGAAGGAATGAAAAGAAACCACCGAAGCCAGAAAAGAAGAGTGGTCTAGACAAGGTTAGTATCTTTTTTACTTAACTTCTTTTTCATTTTAGTTTGTTTGGTAAGTAGCTTAGAATTCTGTAAAATTTATTATTATCTACTTTCTTTTTTTTTGACCAGTTACCTTCAACTGCAATTTGCTCGCTTTATTTTGGTAATAAATTGCGATATTATGAATCTTGTATAATTTTTCGCACTTGTGGTTGTATAAAACAGAGACTTCTTAGTCAGCAGTGTAAACAGAAATCAGTTTATGTTTTTTCTATTCTATCTATAAGTTTGTTACTCTAAACCAGCCATTCTCTAAGTGTGTTCCGCGGAACCCTAGGGTTCCGCGACATCCCTGTAGGAGTTCCGCAAGAATTTAGAAAAAATTCCAAACAACTCTCTCTGGTCGACCGTTCTGACGCGGCGTATCACGATTCACGAGGCGCAGCCGAACACATACATACACACATACATATATACAATTCATACACATACATACAATTCATACACATACATACACACATATATACACATACATATATACAATTCGCCTCGTACAATTTTACTATGCCGCCACCGCCGATATCTACTTGTGAGTGCGAGTCCCTTTGATAAAAGCCGCCCCTGAGATTAACAATAATTGTAAACAAGCTTGCCGACTCGAGTATTTTTGAGAATGTTCGAGATCTGGCTAAGACTATAAAAGCGGCGATCGCGCCTCGCGCCTCTACGCTTAGTTAGTTGACGATTAGTGTTCGGAGTGATAAGTACCTACCTGCTAGAAACAAAGTGTTTATTGTTCTACTGCTGTATTCTGATTGTACATTTCTTCTTTGGACTAAACTCTTTTACGCAGTAACGATCGTGCGTTATTTTGACCCCACCATCCTGACATGTAACATTATTTATAAAGAAGAATGGAACGTTGGCTTAAAGGCGTTAAACGTGTTGCAACAACATCTGCTAACGAAGCCGAATGTTCAAAAGTAGTTCGCGCGGAGTATACAGCAATTACCGATCCAGACGATTATGCAACGACGTCAAGTTCCACGGTTTCAAAGGCGAAAAAAAGGGGGTATGATGAATCATATATCAGTTTCGGATTTGTTGATTCCAAAGGCTCACCTTTCTGCATGTTATGTAGTAAACTGCTTCCTAATAGTTCCATGGCACCTGCCAAGTTGCGCCGACATTTAGAAACTGTACACCCTGAGTCTAAAGACAAGAATAAAGAATTTTTTGTACGTAAAAAAGAACAGTTATTGGAAAGTCAAAAAACTATGATGCATGTAACCCAAACTATCAATGAAAAGGCCACAGAGGCATCAGATTTAGTTAGCTATCGCATTGCACAAGCAGGTGAAGCGCACACTATCGCTGAGAATTTAATAAACCCATGTGTGTTAGACATAACAAAATGTATGCTCGATGAAAAATCTGCAAAGCATCTTTCTACTGTGCCGCTATCAAACGATACTGTTTCACGGCGAATTCATGATCTGGCAAGCTACGTCAAACAAGAACTAGTTACACGTCTACAAGAAACACGTTTCGTCTTGCAAATAGATGAGTCTACTGATGTCGCTGGTCTGGCTATCTTGCTGGTTATCGTGAGATATCCATATGAAAGTTCTTTGGAAGAAGATATGCTTATGTGTTCACCGCTGCCCACAAAAATTACCGGAGAAGAAATGTTTAATAAAATAAATATATTTTTTGAGGAAAATAATCTCAGTTGGAACAATTGCATTGACATTTGTATAGATGGGGCCAAGGCAATGACGGGTAATACAGTAGGACTAGTGTCACGAATAAAAAATAAAGCGCTTAATTGTAGTTCCAGCCATTGTATCCTGCATAGACAAGCACTTGCGATGAAGCAAATGCCGTCAAATCTAAAATTAGTTATGGATGAAGCGGTAAAAATAATTAATTTTATCAAAACACGACCACTACAATCCCGATTATTCTCATCATTGTGTGAAAATTATGGCAGCAAACATAAAACACTGCTGCTCCATACAGAAGTGCGATGGCTGTCTTGGGGTAAAACTTTAACAAGGCTATTTGAACTTAGAGCCGAGTTACAAATGTTTCTTTCAGATACTGCTTTTAATTTGAAAAACCGTTTGTATGATAAAACTTGGTTGTTCCGACTGTCTTTTATGGCGGATATCTTTCAAAAACTGAACGAATTAAATGTATCATTGCAAGGTAAACAGACAACAGTGTTCCAGGCCTGTAACAAAATAACTGCCTTCAAAAGAAAATTAGATTTTTGGATTATTTGCGTTGGAAAGAGAGAAATCGAAAGCTTTACCTTACTCAGTGAGTTTGTTAGTGATAACGATTCAGAAATGTTTCAAGATGATGTATTTGAGGAATTGGTCAAATATCTCACTTCGATGCGCGCATCTTTTGAGAAGTATTTTCCCGAAGAACAAAATAGAAAAATGAAACTGAATTCATGGATTCATAATCCTTTTTTACCCAACTTACAAAAGCCCGAAAGTATGCCAAACGAGATATATGAATCTCTTTTAGAAATGTCATCAGACACAAGTTTGGAGGCACTGTTCAAAACGACGCCTCTCAACGATTTTTGGTGCAGAATTCGTGATGAATATCCAATGCTTGCCAAAATGGCACTGAATATTCTTCTCCCGTTCCCAACAACATATTTGTGCGAAACAGGATTCTCAACCTATGCAGCTACGAAAACAAAATACCGCAATAGACTGGACGCCGAACCTGATATGAGACTTCAACTGTCCTCTATCAAACCTGATATCAACCAATTGATGAAAAATAAAAAACAGTTTCATACCTCCCATTAGTTAGATTTTTCTTATTAATAAAGAATACACTTTTAAAAACTATTGTTTTATTATAGGGTTCCGTCAAGTATTTCGCTTTCCAAAAGGGTTCCGTCACCAAAAAAGATTGAGAACCGCTGCTCTAAACCCTTAGCTCGCTACTATGAATGTGTCTTTATGCCTGGGCATCTTTTTCCTTCTACCCTACATATTAAACTCGATCTTAATATCTCATATTTATCATCTCTCATTATAATGTAAAAGACAATCACAACATTAAAAGACTCACGCGTAACTGCATTTAAAATCACAGGTCACTTCAAGAATTGTTTGTGACAGACCATTTCATTCTACAGAAAAAGTGATGATAACCATTTTTGTTTAAAATTTCCTCAGCTACATTTCTTGTTTGAAACATTTTTTTCTGGCGTACAAATTTTTAGTCAATCGATGTTTTCCGTTTTCCCTCTCTTCGAGGGGTGATTTTAGAGGCAAACCCAGGGGTAGGTATTGCAAACCTTTTGCATCTTTCTTGAAGTCATAAAATTGACATTCTTAGCAAAATTCATCTTTTTTGTATAATTTTTAGAGGTTCGATATATAGATATTCAAGTAATAAGTGATCAAGAAAACCTAGATTTTCACAGCGACATTGTTAATATGTTTGATCATTATTTTATTAATATGTTGAAAATATCAACAGTTTAAGATTGATATTCAGTATGTGTGATATCTATATCAATATGTCAATCAGTGAACCGATAATATATTCTTAAGGTGTCTGTGTATAATTAATTTTTATTGCAACGTTCTTTAGGTTATCTGCTATTTCGTTTCCTTGGTTGTTAGTCTGACCAAGTAACCAGAACTAGGGTTTTCCGCACAATATTTTTACATTCTTTGTTCACAATTTTCATGGTAACATTAATAACAATAATAATTAATTATAGTAACAAATAGGACAGAACCGGAAACTAAATTACCAATTTATCAACGCTTTTAGATAGTAAGCATCATCATAGGTGTGGTAGTACCGATAAAAATTGTTAATGGTTATCTTAATACAAGTTTATTCACCTACTTTTCAAAGAACTTTGTAATATATAAACAAAACAGATAACCTATTAATTTGTAATAATCATAAATCATAAAACAAAGCTATTTGTTGTTTGTGTCTGGGCCGCTTCCTGGAATTATTCATAAAAAACAAATGATAATACCTTTGCTTTTATAATTTTAATTCAACACTTCGTTATTTTGGATTTATTGCTCAGATTAGTTATCACCCATTTTTTATTTTGATTTTTGAGGCCTAATATAAATATTCAAAGATATTACACTTTTCACTGTGGTTTTAACATAGCTTCTTCTACTTCTTTTCACCAGGATCTTATAAATCGACTTATCTTTCTTTTATCTGAGACTCCATTATTTTATCATCTATCTGCTATCATCATATCTCTTCTTACATGTCTGCACCACCTCAAACATTTGTCAATACATGTTTGGTGTTTATTTAAGTATTACCCAATTGTCTACATTATTTTCCTAATACTTCACATAATGTTGTATATTACTCCAGTCGTTAAAGACCACTGAAACCTGATCCTCTAAAAATTGTATGAGCAAGCTGAATTTTGCCAACAATATCAATTTTGGAACCCCAAAAAGATCCTACCTCTGAGACTTTCAACTACAACCCCCCTGGCAGGGGGAAAAACATTGCTAACTCTAATCCTCCTCTTCGTGTTTCTAGTTCCATCTACCATGCGCCTCAACTTATCTCATCCCATTTAAATTCTTTTTGTTAGGCACCAATTCATGTTGTTGGTAGTTATTCTGCACTTCGTTTGTCCTCACGTGGTCTCCATTCCAATAACCTTTTTGTCCATCGACCATCTGTCATCGCTATGTCCCACCTCCATCTATCTATAGATCCTTTTAATGATGTAATCACCATGGATCATTTCATTTAGTGGTAGAAGCTTTTGTTAGAGTGAGTGTTTCTGCTTCATATTTCAGTACTGCCAGTAATATAGCATATCCTATGTCAGCACATTAAGGGAAGGCACTGATCATATACTTTTCTTTTCAGACATATTGGTAGGCCATTTTGAAATATTGTTCGTAGTTTTTTATATACTGCCCATCCATGACATTATCGTTTTGTAATAAACCAAACTACCGAAATAAACTGAACGACACTTTTCCTTCTACCGCATTTTTGTCGACTCTTTTAAAAAACTATTGATCAAGATCGCATATGTATTGAGTTAAAAAAAAATAGGTGAAAATAGGTGAATAGGTCGAAAATTCTTTTAAAACTCTCCCTAGAGTATAACAAATTTGTCTGCTTTCACCATTCCTCCATGGTACGCAATCAACGGCCTGTAATCCTGAAGCCATCAAGCTGATGACAAGTGTGATTTATCACGTAGATCAATCAGTAATTTAAAATAAAATAAATGTTGATTAATTTGAATGTTTGTATTCCCTTAATAACTGACAACCAACGTATTGATCTGTTGAAGAATTTGAACATCTTGGGAATACTGAAACTTTAAAAATGTGCAGACCTGAATATGATTTGCGATCTTCGAGGTAGATCTAATACTACTAACATTTATATTAAACTTTGTGCTAATTTAGCCAATCAGCCATCTTTCATAATTGGCTAAGAAATATAAAAGTGCGCCCAATACTCCATAGTAGGGTAGGGTAGGGTAGGTAGTACGGTCTAAAATGCTAAAAAATGACACTTTTTTTTGTAACTCATTTACAATAGGCATATTCTATATGCTAATTAAACTACTTTTATATTATTGTACAACATATGAAGTTCACTAACAAATTTTGTGTGATCTTTTTGTATTGTTCGTGTATCTCAAAGGTGGCCTCAAAAAATTTTCGTCAAAAAATTACTACTACTTGGAGGATAGTTAATTTCTGGAATGGCAACACTGAAATATAAAATTCGAGAGAGGTTTTAAAAGATTCGTACCTAACTTGATAGTTTACTATAAAAATTTAAAATTCTTGGCAAGAAAACAAAATGGTAAGCAATCAAAAAATTTTTTTCAAAATTGGCCCCTTTTTCGAGTTTTTTAGTGATAAAAATTGTATTCTTATTGTTTTTGTTCAAATTCTATTACACTATCATAGAGAAAACCAACATAAATAAAATTCATCAAGGTTTATTAAAATCGAGTAACTAGATTTGGAGATTAAAGATTTTGAGAAAAACTACGTTTTTAAAACTGTCGGTTGATTTTAATAAACCTTGATGCATTGTTTTTGTTTTGGTTTTCTCTGATGACAGTTTTCCACAAATTGACCAGAAAATAAATAAAAATAAAATTTTTGGCGGCTGAAAAAAGTAAAAAAAAAGATCAATTATTTCAAATGTCCACCATTTTGTTTTTTTAGTAGTTTTCCACAATTTGACCAAAAAAAAATAAAATTTTTGGTGACTGAAAAAAGTAAAAAAAAAGCAATTTTTGTACAATTTTTTTAAATGTCCGCCATTTTCAGATTTTTAAACTACAGGAACGATGGAAAAAATTTTGTAATCTTCAAAAGTTGAATAATATTATAAACAGGTTTGATTGCCATATATAATAAATAAGATACAAAAAAAAATGTTGAAAATGTGTCATTTCTTATTATCCTAGACAGTAATAGTACCTTAATGACGTTTTTCATCATAATTCATACTACATTATTAAGGAGCTCTTTCTGTTCTTCCTTCTCTGTAACGTATTTTATATATTCTAGTTTTTGTAGATACTAGTTGATTGTATTTATATTAATAAATTAATATTATTTCACCTAGACAGTCAAAAATTTGTCCCAATATATCGAAGAGTAGAAAAGTTGGTTTGTGAGAATTAAAATATTCAGCAAGTTTTACAATGTTATATTTTTTTGTAAAAATAAAAACAGCATTTGAATAAATACGCTCTTTTTGCAGGTGAAGTCACTTTTTAGCAGAGATACTAAAAAGAAGAAAGAGAAGGTCCCTATGGTGCGAGAAGAAAGCCTGAGAGCTAGATACGTAGAGTACAAAGGAAGAAATCCTGTCGAACCTAAATTTAAGAAACAAGAAGTCAACAGTCAAACTGTAAGTTTCAATTTTTACAAAGTATTTTATTATGGTGATATTTTAAGTTGGTCAGGATCAGACAAACAAATGAAAATCAAAGCTTTTGTTGGAGTTAAATAAAACGTCATTTCTTGATAGTTTGGTAGTGGGAAAGATCAGTTAGCCGTTATTACTTACTTACTTCGTGGCGTTACAATCCTTTGTGGGTTTTAGCCGACTCGACAACCTGCCTCCACTGTTTTCTGTCTTGAGCAACCTCCATCCAATTCTCCACCCCCATAGTGCTTAGATCTTCTGCTATATTATCTCGCCACCGGAGACGAGGGCGTCCGCGTGGTATCCTTCCAATGGGGACTTCATCCCACACAAGTCTTGCTGTTCGTTCATCAGAATGTCTTCTGAGGTATCTGCCAATTTTGGAGTCTTCTGGACTTTATTTCTTTTATGATGTTGGCGTCTGGGTAAAGTTCTTCGAGCTCTTTGTTAGCTCTTATCCTATATTGTCCTGATGCTTCATCCAACACAGGACCAAAGATCTTCCTTAGGATTTTTCTTTCCCAAACACATCTCTCTCTTCGTTTGCCTTTGTTATCGTTCACATTTCGCTTCCATACATCACTGGTCGTATGATTATTTTAAGACCTGTATTTTCGTACGTCGTGTTAGTTGTTTCGATTTTATAAGGTTTTGGAGGGCAAAAAGACATCTGTTGCCGGCCTGAACCCTGTTGTTTATTTCTTGTGATTCGTTATTGTCTTCAGTTATTGTTGTTCCGAGATACTTGAATTCTCTAACGCACTCAAAGTTAAAGTCATCGATGGTGATGTTCTGACCGCTTTTGTCTTTGCTTTGGTTATTGCGGCTCATATACATATATTTCATATATTTCGTCTTTTTTTCGTTGATTTGGAGCCCCATCTTCTCTGCTTCCTTCTCGAACCTCACGAAACCTCCTTCATCCTTAATCGTGTGTTTCCTATTAGATCGATATCGTCTGTAAATATCAGTAGTAAGTTTGGTCCTTTTGTTTGGTTTTTAGTTTGGTTTGGACAATTAAACCACACTATCGGTGATTTGGGATTCTGTTTTACCTCCATGTTAGAAGTATACTGTTATTCTACATATTTTTACATACTTCTGTTCTTTGAGATTTTTACACAAAAACTGATTTTATGCTTTAAGTTCATTGATTGACTTTTAGATGAACTGATGATGTATATGGATTCATATAGCCAGATCGTTTTGTTTTCTTCTCTCTTCTCTCTCTTTTATGGCGATAACCATCCTTTTATCTTCATATAATTCTGCAGCCATTCGCCGACTTTGCTAAAGTTTTTGTAACAATCTATTTGTACTTATTAGTCTCATGTGGGAAAGTATCTTCTTCTTCTTTTTGTGCCACTCCTATCGGAGATTGGAAATCATCAAGGCTATTCTGACCTTGTTTACGGCTGACCTAAAGAGTTCATTAGTGGTGCAGCCAAACCACTCTCTCAAATTCCGCAACCATGACATTCTTCTACGGCCTGGATTCCGTTTTCCTTCTATTTTTCCCTGCATTATATTTTGAAGTAATGCGTATTTATGTCATCTCATCAGGTGACCAAAATATTCGAGTTTTCTTCGCTTTAGCGTTAACAAAATCTCTGGGTCTTTTCCTATTCTTCGTATTACTTCACAGTTTGTTATTCTTTCAACCCAACTAATCTTCAGCATTCGACGGTAGCACCACATCTCGAAACTTTCAATATTTTTCATGTTGTTCTGTTTGAGAGTCCAGGCCTCTACACCGTATAATAGCGTGTGAAATACATAGCCTCTCAGCATTCTTAATCGTAGAGGGATGCTTATATTTCTGTTGCAGAAGAATTTTCTCATCTTTATGAGGGTGGCCCTGGCAATTTCGATACGTCTTTTTATTTCACTGTTTTGGTCTCCAGTTTTGTTTATTAAAGTTCCCAAGTATTTGTAACTTGACACTTTTTCAACTTGAGTGCCGTTTATACTAATATACGCTGGTTGTGTCATGTTTTTACTGAAGACCATATACTTGGTTTTTTTTAATATTGATATTTATACCATAATTATTGCAAGCAATATTTATGTCTGTAAGTAATCTTTGTAATTCTTCTACTGTTCTTGCAACTAGTACAGTGTCGTCCGCGTATCGAATATTATTTACAATCTCTCCATTAATTACGATTCCTCCGTTTGCTTGTAAAAGGGCTTTCTGACAGATGCTTGCTTTTGCAAGATGGTTGCAAAATGCAACCCTGTCGTACTCCTCTACGTATTTCTATTACTTGTGATGTTTCAGTTTCTATTTTGATGTTAGCTTTCTGATTCCAATATAGATTGAGAATTATTCGCAGATCTTTATTATCTATGTGCTTCCTTTCAAGAATTTCTCTAAGCTTATCATGGCGTACTCTGTCAAACGCTTTTTCAAAATCGATAAAACACGTATGTACCTCCTGATTAACGTCTAGGCATCTTTGTGTGAGAACATTCAAACCGAAGAGAGCTTCTCGAGCACCAAGCCCTTTTCTGAACCCCATCTGTGTATTACTAATATCTGACTCCAACTTTTGATAAACTCGGTTGTGGATGATTTTTCGAAATATCTTTAGTAGGTGGCTCATTAAAGATATTGTTCGATGTTCTGAACATTCTTTAGCATTAGATTTCTTTGGCAGTGTAACGAATGTAGACAACAGCCACTCTTGGGAAAGTATCTAATCTTTGCCTATTATTTCCCTCAATGTTGTATCACCTTCTCCAGTACATCATCTCCTTTGCCTTAATTTTTTATTTTCTTCTTCGGCTCCATTGGTTCTTTCATAAAACTGTTCAAACTCAAACTGTCCGTTTCGCTTTTTATGCCCTTTTTGAGTATTTATTCATCCTAATTAGAATATTTTAGTGAATAATAATACAGAACAATAAAAAAGAATTATCAGAAGATAATTTTTCAGGTGTGATCACATAAATACTATGAATTCATTCTAATTGCCTCTGATTTTTAACTACATGTTTTAAACGAGTAGCAATAGCACAGTGCCACCCGGAAGGAAATAGAAAAATCAGGATTGTTGTGTCCGATGCACGTTAAGTCCCACGTTTTCGTTAAGGACAATCAAGGAGGCGCCAAAAGCTGTCCTCATATTCATGATCGCATCATCGCTGAATGCAGTGTGGGGTTATGTTGGCGTGTCGTAATGAGTCATCTCGCTCTCGCACGGCCGTGCGATTACCAACGGGCCTTCATCGGTACCACCGATCGCCGATCACTTGCAATCGCAATGACCGACTTGTGCGATAAATAGAAAAGAAGAAGGAGCCAGTAGCGCCAGCTCTAAATTTCATATGGTATTTTTTAATCTTGATTCAACTATTTTAATGCAAAGCATGGGTAAGCTTAATCGGAGGAAATTTTTTAATCAGAAACTGAATAGAGATTTGTCCCTTTAAAGTATAGAAAATTGTGGCATAGTTAATGAGAAATTACAAACTGGTTTTTGGTCATTTTTAGTAATTTGCAAGTATAATTTTAGTGACATAAGAATGATTTGTGATAAAAAAATGTTCAGTTCAGAGGAATTGGCAATTGTTCTGTGTAGATTTAATCACCACAGCCGCAGTTGATTTGCTATATTTCCCATAGCAGAAAAAATTGTACTTATTGAAAATGTTCTTACACAAACATTACTACATATAATATATTGCTCTTTTTATACTATATTCGTTGTGCGTAGACTATTAACCAGCCAATTGAAAGTTGTTATTTTCGTACAGCACTGTTATATTGTCAAAATATAATAATATGTAGGGAATTATATTTTATTATGAATTTATTTCTACATCTAATTAGCGAAGACCAAAGTGGATTTACGATCGCTAGATCTTGGACTGATAACTTGTTTATACTCAAGCAATTAAAAGCAAAAAAAGGATAGCGGTTGGTACCGAAGTACATCTAGCCTTCATCGACCTAGATAAGGCGTATAATATAGTTCCAAGACTTAAATTATGACAAGCTTTATAACAACTCGGCATTAGTCCATACCTTTTAGGAATAATCACAAAAGTATACAGGGGCAGGTATAGCACTACTTACCTAAAAATCGGAAATAGACTATCAGAGCCAATAGAAGTAACTAAAGGGCTAAGACAAGGATGCAATATATCACCCTAACTGTTTAATTTATATATTGAGGCAGCTTTCCAAAATTGGAAAAACCACTGCCAGGTAATGGGAATAGGAAATGACGTACTAATATGCGGATGACCAAGTCGTCTAGCTAAAGGTTCTTTTGATCTAGAATTTATGATAAAGCGTCTATACAGAGAATATGTAAAATGGAGGTTACAAGTCAGCATGAAGAAAATTCATATGCAAAGTTTGAAGTGCTAATAGACAAGGACGTGGAAATCAAACAAGTGGAAAAATTTAAATATTTAGGTGCACTCATTGATAAGAGCGGCTTGGCAGAAATCGAAATTAAACACCGAATTAATCAGGGATGTAAAATTGTAGGATGTTTGAACTCTTTATGGTGAAAACCATGGTAATCAGTTCTTTGTTATGGCTCTGAAGTATGACAGACAATTAATGCAGACCTGAAGAGAAGATCGTTAGCAGTTGAAATTGATTCTTTGAGAAGAAGTGCTAAAACATCAAGGCTGGAAAGAAAGACCAACAAATCTCTTCTTATAGAATAACATGAATTCTACAGAAACGGTTATTGACAGAAGAGAAAACAAAGATTTAAAATGGTTTGGACACCTATTGAGAATGCCTAATGAACGTTCGCCCCAAAAACTTAACAGATGGAAGCCCACTGGAAGAAGAAAAAGAGGTATACCTTTGCTGAGGGTTGGCTTTACGTCTGTCATATCTTAATTTAGTTTGCAATGCTATTACTTAAATTGTAGACAAATCGTCACCAATTTATTATCATACACAATTCAATAATACTCCACCAAAAAGAGTTTATGAATGTTTATGTTTATTCTTT